CCTATTATGGGCCTTAGAGAAACTGGAGGCAGCCAAAACTGGGAGATGTTCACACCCCTGCAGGATGAGAGGAAGAAGAAAAGGAAGATGGTTCTCCCCATCCTTTTTCTGTTTCCCTTTGTATGGTCAGTTGGAGGCCCCCTTCTAGGGACATGGCTGGGGAATAAGGGAATGTCAGATCCTGTAGATCCAGTGCCTCTGCTGACCGTTTGCTGGCATGCTTTCCAGTCAGTGGAGATTGGTCCAGTTGGGCAAATGTAGCGCTCTGCCCACCTAACCAGCCTTTTCCTGCTTGCTTCTGTACTAGAACCTTAGTTACTTTTCTGCTTGCCTACCTGGAATGCTTTTGCCCTGGATCCCTTTATCAACTATGGTTCTGCCCACCTTTGGCTGCTATGCATTCTTCCCCATCAACCAGAATAGGCATTAGCTAGCACTGATCCCCATGTCCCACTCTCAAGCTTTCTCCTGTTATAGACAAGTCTACAGCAACTGGTGCCCCCTACTCAGTGGTCTCCAAAGGAGCTTCGGGTTGCTCTTTTTTATATCTTCCAAAACTGTAGGCTAGGAATAGTTTTTTTAAAATCATTTCCACCAGTCTTTCAAGAGAACTGTAACAGGTTTGCTTCAAATATCTTGCAATGTGTCATTTTGGTTTAGCTCCAAGCTTAGCATCATTACAGCCTCATTTTCGATACTCATTATCAAAATGAAATGAAAATACAGTGGCTCATGGCTGTAAAATATAGCAATAGCTATTATTGTTATGACTGTTATTATCAATGTTCTCGTTCCAATTTTACTTTTTCTTTATGTCGTGACTTTGGAAAGCTTTCACAAAGTCAGGACAACCCAAAGGAAACTTGGATCATGGAATAAAAATGGCTAATTAGAAATGAAAGCATACCTCCTCATCACAGTCTGCGTTTTTGATTCATGTCTTCTCAAGCATATGGGGCTGCAGACAAGCTGTGCCACACATAGAAAAAGGAAAGGTGTTAAGCAGGTTCAGGGTGACTTTGCCATTTGCAGACACTCAAGTAATCTTGAGGAGGGGGAGCATAAAGGGGAAAATCCCCTTAAGAAAGAAATCAAATATGTGAAAGTACTTGAGGCTGGGTGTAAGAGTGTTCATAAAGTGAAGGGGAGAACTCAGATTATGGCACTGAGTTCACTCAGAGGCTACAGAATTATAAATTATTGCTGGGGATGTGGGGAATAAATAAGTGTGAATTGGAGTACCTAGTGTGGTGTAGTAGTAGACAGAGTAATGGACTAGGACTCACCTCATTTACCTTGAAAACCCTATTAAAATTACTATATATTGTATGTCAGTTCTGATTTGATGGCATGGCGCTGCTAGAACCCTGAAAAAGACCACACTGAGATTTTGCTGCTCCAGGGCCTTACTTGTGCTTGGAGATAGATAGAAACACTAGTAGAAAAATGCTAGTAGAAAAAATTAGGAAAGTTATTAGAAAATGGTTAGCAGGTTAGTGTGCTCAAAATTCAGTTAAGTTTAAATTGAAAAGGAAAACTTTTAAATAATTAAGCTGCTGTTAAATTGACATCAAATTAGATTACTATAGGCTTATCAGAAAGTCAAAAAAAATCTCATTCTGAAATGAGAGGCCGCACAGGTATAGAAGAAAGTCACTTTCACATAGTAAAAGCAAGAGTATTTGGGGAGAATGTTAGAATGCATCCCTCAGTCTACGTGGTCTCCATATACATACTAGATGGTTGAATAGGACACATCTTTAGACATATTGGAACTTAATTATGAGTGGCCCTGTGCAATAGTAGAGCAAAATGTATTTCAGTTTTTTTAAAAAAAAACTTCATTTGTGCAATGTGCAGAATTTGCAATGCTTGACTACAACAAACATTCATCCTTCCGTTGGATAGTACATAGCAACCTAGGATTCAGCCTGATCCCATTTGCTATCTCTCTGTGTTAAAAAGTTCTCTCTTCCTTTCTCTCTTTTAAAAAGTTCTCTCTCTCTCTCTCTCTCTCTCTCTCTCTCTCTCTCTCTCACACACACACACACACACACACACACACACACACACACACACACACACACAATTTATGGATCTAATTGATACATATGACTCTCTCACATACACTTGACTATTAAAGAAAAGTGTGTATGAAGCTCAGACGTTCATACTTTCTGCACCAGATAATTAAAAATCCCAGATACATGGGTGTAATTAGCTTTTTTTTTTATTGTAGTCAGAACACAGTCGGGGCTATTTCACATTTTCCACAAATGAGACACAGAACTGCATGATAAGCAAAAATTCATCCTCAGAGGAGAAATTCTCAAGCAGATCTTCTTACCATAAAATTAGTTGTTTGGTGATTTAACATTAAATGGAGATCTTGAAACATGAGGATGCAAAATGCAATCCAAATCAAATTATGTCTGAACATTTGATTAACTTGATTAAGTAGTTTCTGTTTGCTTGTGGAATTTTATATGGTACCATGAATACTGTTTAATCTAGAGCATTAGTATGCTCTGCTTATTTCCTCTATTTTTTAAGCTTTCTTGACTCATTTTAGTTGGGCTTTAGGCCTGGTTTAGAACTGTGTGTATTCAGAAGTACTGTAAGTTTAGTGTTTTCACTGGGGCTACCTAGTGTGGTATAGTGAATAGGGTGAATGACTAGGACTCAGGAGATCTTGGTTTGAATTCCCTGCTCAACAGTGAAAACTCACTGTGGGCATGGAACTGGTAAAACCTCTCCTTAAATAGCTCACTGACTTTGAAGACCCTGTTAAAGTTACTATAAGTTGATTCCAATTTGACACTGCGTAACAACAAAATTTGTAGTTAATTTTTTTGAGATTGCAACCATACAGTATATCTAGGTCACATTCCACCCAGAGTTCAGCACAAGAAAGCTTCAGTTATTTCCATTGGAAAATAGCATATAGTTACATCTCTCCAGTTGAAATCAATGGGAGCTAAATGTGGTTGCCTCATGCCCTTCGTCTTTGCATTCGATATGAGTCTGTATTGTTCTTTTTTCATGTTAGGAAAAGCATTCCTAATGGGTTAATTGTATGCAGAGTGACATTTGAATCATTAGAAAATATTTTTTTGGTTTATGGGAGGGGATGTTGTGTGTGGTACATCTGATTATAAAATGTCTTTAAAAACAAAACAAAAAAGTGGTACATGTCCTCTGCTGTAGTAAATAAGATTTAATTGAAGTAAGCTTCCATAAAGCAATGAAAAATTAACAGAGAGAAGGCAAGTACTGATTTAAATAGCTGTGTGAAGGCAAGGAATTCATGAAAGGGGAGCTATAAAAAGCTCCGGAAACAGATATGCATTTTTAACCTGAGCATTCACATAAAGCCAGTGCCAAAGCCAGAAGGTCTTAACAGATTGCACAACTGAGGTGCGGTAACCCAAGTTGCTCTCTGTGTGAATTAATTTATAGTTTGGACAATTCCACCACAGAATAATTGATTAGGAACAGGTTTGTCTAAAAAGAACACGTGCAAACAAAATATCTTCACTTCTGCTTTCTATTTTTGATAAAAGTGCTGCAAATTTTGTGTATTTGTTTGTCTGTCTGCATCTCCTGATTAAGATCCTGTTAATGAATGTTGCTTTATCTCAGCCATTTTGCATGGTGCCATCGGTGCATCTTTCTGTGCAAAATTCATTATTTAGGTGGTGAGTGGTTATTTTCAGTATTACTTTGAGAGTGATCTGAATTTTTTTTAATATTGTTAATAAAAATGTCATGACCAGGTCTAAAATATTTGAATGTATTATATTGTAGGTTCGGGAAGCACTTTTCTGTGAGGTCATATTTTCTTTCTTTGCTTGCTCCAAAATATGTTATAGACTTGCAAGCTAATGCAAAAAGGAAGAAATTAAAATAGTTAAGATCTATCTTCCTTCTTCTCTAAAGCATATTGTACTATTTACTATTTAGCAGATAGTACAAAATATTTATAGACTTAAAAATGCAAATATAGACCAACGTGATTCTTAGAAGTAATGAAATGTAAAAGGAACGGTGAATCCTGCTGCCCTCCCCCACAAAGCAGGCAGCTGAGGAGTCCCCTGGCAAAAAATATCCATGTATTCCAGCCTTGTTTGGTTGCTCATGTCAGCTTTTATTAAAAACACAGAGTCAGTCCCTACTGCCGCTTCCCCCATGTACCAAGGGGTTGTGTTTCTGACACTTAATCCCACGGGCACAGTCAGTCCAGCTGGGGTTCAGGTCTGGAGAAGAAGGCGGGAACTATTAAGTTCCAATCCGGGGCACAAACCTTTTAGAGGGGGCTGGTAAAGTGGGCAGTGGAGATCAGACTCTGTGGCTGTTCCTGGAGCTCCCTTTGCCACATCCTTTGCCTCTCCAGTGGTTAAGTTAGGTTGGGGTAGGCTCTGCAGCTCCCATCGAGTGGCAAGGCCATCAAGGCTGGGGTGACATTGAGTCAGCAGAGGGGGCTGCATTGCCAGAGCCTCAGGTCCCTGTGGTGGTCGCTCTCATGCCCCTTGCCTGACCCTCCAAACACAGAGCACACGAAGGCAAACCAATACTCCTTTTTACCCTGCTGCTACCAGTTGATCACTAAATCAACTTTAATTATGGAAGGATGAAGACGCAGGTCCAAACTTCACTGTCTTTTAAATAAAACTTGTTTATTGATTACAGATGTCTGAATATTAATCATAGGTAACTTCAATTATCATTGGTCTCACCCTTCTATTTATCATTACAGTTCTTATTCACTTTTCACTCTAATCACACCTCACATCTCCCAAATTTTACACTCTATCTCCTTCTCCACTCTGATCTCTCTGACTCTGACTCACTCTGACTCCGCCTCTTTATTACATTTCTCTCGGCTCCACCTTCTAGCAACATTAGCCTACAACATGAATATTCATAACTACTTAACATAATAAGGGTGAACGCTACAGTCCCCAACCTCTTCCATGGCTGAATGGACAGGGCAGGAGGACATGTCACCCTTTATCCCTGTTTACACCTCTGCAGAGACGCAGAAGATGGGGTCCCAGGGCTCACCTGTCTCTGTCCATGTCTCCCCTTCATCTGGTGTGGTTGACATTGATGACCCTGACTCCTGCAACCGTCACCCTCTTGTTCCCGCTGTCACAACCTCCTCCAGCTGCCCTTCTTCCACCTGTGGCATTGCATCCTTGCTGGCTAGGGGCTCAGGAGACTTGTGGGGCGGGGCCAGATGGCCTGCTCGGGGTAACTCCCTCACATGAACTTATGTTCATTGGAACTGCTCTGGAATTGTATTTGAATTTTGGTTTTATGGGCATGATCAAGATGAAAAGGAGACTTTGCCTGGCTTCACTAGTTGTATATATATCATGAACTTATGTTCATTGGAACTGCTCTGGAATAGTGTCTGAATTTTGGTTTTATGGGCGTGGTCAAGATGAAAAGGAGACTTTGCCTGACTTCACTAGTTGTATATATATATTTTTTACCTGACTGGTTTTTGGTTAGGTTCAGCAAGTCAGCTATGGGCAGTGGGTAACTTATGCATTTAGGCCTGACATGTCTCTGGAGAAGGTAACTAATTCAACCATGGCATACTATTTTAGCCAAAGTACGAGAACAGAACCAGATTTTTTAAAAAAAGTCATTGGGGTGGCTTGTAGGTGAAGTAAGGGAGTTACTCCAAAATGTAGCAACATCTACTACTAGAGTTTCATAAGCTCCTAGTTTGTGAACTAGGAGAAATAGTCTCAGTCATTCTAGTGATTTTTCTCCACTTTAAGATACCTAATGTACTTCTAGAAAGTTTTATGTCCTCATACAATAGCCTTTAATGGGATGCTATGTTCTCTGTTCTGACATTTCATGCCAAACATAGAAAAAGAGCACATTCATTCCATTAAAGCTGCCTGACAGACATTAGTGTGCTATTTTGGAGTTGCTTTAAATTGCTAGCAATTTAGTCTCTTGAGTTCTTTGCCTGTTTTAAATTTCTTCTTATTTTAGGGACAATGCTTTAAATTGCTAGCAATTTAGTCTCTTCTTTGCCTGTTTTAAATTCCTTCTTATTTTAGGGACAGGTTTTAAAATATGGAGAAATTTATGCATCAGTCATAGATATCTCATGGGTCTTCCAATGTCTCACCTTGAAATTTTGGCTGAGGTGCCCCCTGCAAATGATCCCCGAGTCACCCATGGCTTCAAAATAAGGCAGTGGGGTGTGATATCCACTGAAATATCAACAATAATAAATTGGAGGCCATGAATTACTGCTAATACATCATAGAGTAGAGGAATAAAAAAGAAGTCTAAATCATTATTTCATTACAAGCAGAGAAGAATTACTGAAAACAGTGAAAATGGAGAATATTTTGAAAACAACAAAACCAAAGGCTCGATATAAGAAACAACACTGCCACTGCATAAAGACCAGCTACTTTCAGTGGGATAATGAGTTCTATGAACAGACAGATGGAGTGGCCATGGGGAGCCCCCTCAGCCCGGTTATAGCAAACTTCTACATGGAACATTTCGAAAAACTTGCCCTGGCTTTGGCACCCTTTGCACCCACAGTCTGGTTCTGATACGTGGATGACACCTTCACAATTTGGAACCATGTTGAAGAAAAACTGGAAGAATTTCTAAACCATCTCAATAGCATCCAAATATACAAGTCACCATGGAAAAAGAAATAGAGGGCCAACTCCAGTTCTTAGATGTCATGGTCATACGCAAAACTGACCTCCGACTGGGACACAAGGTCTACAGAAAATGTATTCACGAAGGCTTTCACGGCTGGGATCTAATGGTTGTTGTGGGTTTTTCGGGCTCTTTGGCCGTGTTCTGAAGGTTGTTCTT